CACAAGATGCAAGTTTGACTGGCACAGCATTTTGTATTATCAGTTTCCCATAATAACAGTTTGGTTATGTGTTGCTGCTACAAAAGGAGCATGTGTTTAATTTCAGTATAAATAGTATGCAGGTAATATTTCTGACATAATTGATCTGTCATTTAGTCTTAGACAATTATGTTATGCATATTATTTTGGCATTAGATTTTCCTTATTTTGTTATGTGGCAACTTTATATTTCTTCAAGTTTTCTATTAAAATGCAAGAATGTCAGTACTGAAAATATTTTACTTGTTCAGCTGTATTTGATTCTGGATCACACATGTAGCCAGTCTCCTCAGCCTTGAACCCCGGGGTGGCCTTTCTTGAGAGATACACCCCCCCCCAAATGACCTCTGAACCTCCACAAGCAGTGCCCTATGAAGCCAGGCTTGGTTTAAAGAGTGGCTTTTGCTGGGAGGACCACATCTTGGCTGAGAAAACTCAGGCCAAAGAGAATTCTCCAGGCTGGCTGCACTGGCAAGCATTCTCCATGCAAGCAACCCCCCCCACACATCTATCCTGTCAGCTTAGTCCAAAGAGGACTAGAATGGGCTAGTCTCTGCCCTTGCCTCAGGCATCTTCTACTGACCAAATGGCTAGTCTTTTGTCTGTCAAATGTACAGGCAGGCAGGGACAAAAAGCCTCTGGTCTGAGTTATTGTCATGAATGAAGTGTGTTGTATATTTCCATCCTCCTCTCCTGTTTCCCCTATCTGCATTCTTACACCTATGCCAGACCTGTCAAGGAAACATTATCTCTCCATGTCTAGTGATGGTCAGCCATTCAGGTTCATCCTGCCACACATTAAGAAACATCACTCCTGGGGGGCATGGTGGCTGAGCTTCCAACTGGCTGCATCCCTTTCATGCTCCTGCTATTCCCTCTGAAAGTATCAAAATTGCTCTCAAAGAACAAAACTAACCTAGAAACAAACTTCAATGCTGGCTAAGGGAAGGACTAGGGGAAAGAAGGGAGCAAAAAGTTCCCCCTATAGACCCCCAAAGAAAGCTAATACGGACTCTGAAGACTCAGAAGACCAAGAGATATCTCTGCCGGAGATAATGGTGATATGAGGAGGTAACTCTGACCTAGGTTATCAGACTATGATTCTGCATGCTCTGACAGAGATAAAAGATGAACTTAAAACTGAAATAAAGTCTCTGAGTGGGGACGCTGGGCAATTGAAAAATGAATTTGACCAACTTAAATGAACAAGTGAGCCAATAAATAAAAAACTTGATGAACTTACTAAAACTTTGCAGACGACGGAGAGGAAAGCAGAAGCAGCATACCAGAGCATGAGGAAAACAGCAGATGAATTGAACAAGGTAAAGGACTTTGAAACTTGGGCTAAAAATAAAATTATGCTCCAAGAAATTAAATTGAAAGGAAGGCCAAACTCCGTGGGGTTTCTTTAAATTTCTCCATAACAGAAGACCTTACTATATCTTTAAAGAATTGGCTGCGACAGACACTCCAATCAGCAGGAGAAACAGGGATCTCCGAGCAAGTTATCACCACAGCCTTCCATTTGAATGTCTCAAAAAGAGCTCATCCAGAAGTCATTCCAGATATTCTAATTGACTTCTTGGAGGTGCTGACCAAAAACAAACTCTTTAAAATTTCAAGGGAAAAAGAGGGTCTGCACCTTGAAGACATGGTTGTTTCCTTGTTTGCTGACGTCCCTGCAGAGATTCTCATCACGAGAAGGAAGTTGCGAGACACAGCCAAGTCTTTGAGAGAATGAGGAATTCAGTACAGATGGCTTGCTCTCGGCCACCTGGTGGTCAATGTAAATGGCAAAACCCTAACTGCTTATGACAAGAGCACGGGGAAGAAGCTTCTGGAGGAGGAGAAGAAGAAGAGAGAAGAGTTTGGATTTATACCCCATCCTTCATTACCCAAAGGTGTCTCAGAGCGGCTTACAAACTCCTTTCCCTCCCCCTCCCCACAACAGACACCCTGTGAGGTAGGTGGGGCTGAGAGAGCTCTGACAGAAACTGCTCTTTTTTCAAGAACAGCTCTTATCAGAACTACGGCTTGCCCAAGGTCATCCAGCCAGGTGCAAGTGGAGAAGTGGGGAATTAAACCCGGTTCTCCCAGATTAGAGTCCGCACACATAACCACTACACCAAACTGGCTAAACAAACAGACAGAGGCATCTAAAAGGAGACAGTTTGTTTTGATAAACAATAGAATAGCTTATGAGGAGAGCAATTAAATAAATAAGTAGGGTACTTAGAAATATATATTAAGCAGTAAATACTTAGTAAAGGTATGGTAAAGGTAAAGGTTCCCTTGCTCGAAAGCCAGTCGAATCCGACTCTAGGGTTGTGGTGCTCATCTCCGTTTCAAAGCTGAAGAGCCAGCGCTGTCCGAAGACGTTTCCGTGGTCATGTGGCCAGCATGACTAAACACCAACAATGGGACAAATAGTATAAAAGTAGACGTGTTAGAGCCAGAGGGCATGGGAAGGAGAGGAAGGGTGTGCTTCCCCTAAGACCTCTGTTAACAGGGAGAGGGGTTACCCTCTAGCTGAAGGGGTTTCCTCTTCAGCCCCCAGTATCGGAGGCAACCCCATCCAGCTTTCTTTTTTAGGTATAGGAGCAGTAGATAGAATAAGATTGAAAGAACAGAATAGAAGTTTGGAGATTGAGTAACAATTTATTGGAAGACTTAAAGGGTTATAATGTGATTATATGGTGTATGGTGGTTTTATACGTGGGTAGGATAAGAGAATAGGAAAGGAAGAGGTTGCAAACCGGATTGGGTTTAAGTTTAATTTGTTTAGCTTTATAGATGGAATATAACCTCATTTTTTATTGTTTTGTTTATTAATGAAATGGGGTATAATACATGAGGAGATGAATTATTTTTATGTAGTATGAAATATATATTCAATAAAATATTATTGGAAAGAAAAAAAAGAAACATCACTCCTTTTGTCTGGTACCAGGGAAACGCTAGACCACTCTATTGTTCCACAATGAACAGCCCCAGTACAGTCATCCAACACCTGGCTTCTATTGTTAAAGACAGACTCTGCCCCTCTGAGAGCTCATTGGTCACATCTAGGCCTTGCCCATCCTGATGCCACACACCCCTGAGACTCATCATTGGCCCAGGTAATCTATTGTTCTCATCTGAGACCAGCCCCCAGGGCTGCCCATTGGTCTGCATTGTTTTCCTATGGGTATATCCTAGCAAACAGATGGCCTCAGAGTGTGTGCCTCAGCCCTGATGTCAAGTGGCAGTCCACCCCTAAACCTTCAGGGTTTAGACCATAATCTCATCTCCATGGATCCCTGCACGGCTGGTCAGGTTGTATTACTCAGTAACTGACCCATCTATTCACTGTCAATCACCTCTGCTTTCTTAGTTCTGTATTGCTTGCGCTCTTGAATGTTTAGTGTGCTTGTACTTAGGGAAATACTGTAATAAAAACTATTTAATTTACTCTTCAAATCTGGAGTTTTCCTACTGTGCAGGACCTTGGTATACAAGTGGTGTGCAATTCCTGTACCCCTCTGGCCTATTCTGCCTTATAGCTACATTCACCAAACAGCAAGGCAGGCCATTGGTGGTAACACACATGTGTTGCCTTAGATCTTACAGACTGTATGTGTAGAAGAGCGGAGAAATCATGATTTCCCCTGCTGTGTGTGTGTTTTCCCTCCCATGTATTTGACCTATGTAAATGTGCTCTGTGCATGAAGAACTGATTCACATGGACAGTATTTTTAAATAATCATGAGTTAAACATGGCATGGATTAAGTCCAGTGCATTAAATTTAATACCTGACTTCTGAGGATGCAAATCCATCCTACCTCTGTAGACCGCTTTATGTATTCCATTCAGCCGGTGGCTGTGAGCCTCAAGGGCATTGTGGTATGATACTGCTCCCCCACTGTATGTAGAGTGTAGATTTATTATTTACCTAATACATACAACTAAGTATGAATAGGAGTAAAACTGCACTAAAAACCCTGGAAACTAATTACATAACATACACCTTGAGAAGGAGAAACCAAAATACTCTGACAAAGCAAGCAGAATCATGTTGAATATTGTAAACTGTCCAGTTTCTCTGTTTTTCCAAGATACGTTTCTAGTCAGATTACTATAATGATCTTGCATTTTAGTAAGATTAATGTTACAAACTCTGGACAGTAAATATCTTGTGAAACATTAATATATATAGGAGTACGCCAAGTTTTACTGAACTTACTGCCCTTGTAATTAGTTCATCTGAGTCAAAATAGGGGGAAAAAAGGTATTCCTTATAGCTTTAGTTCATCTCACGACAGTTCATTTGTCATGGTAGACCACAGCTTGGATCCACAAGACCATTTCCACAGAGGGGCTCTCTGTCCCCTAGTATCAGCACCATATTTGGGGTTGCAGTAGGAGAGGGAAGATGAGAAAATCAAACTCCATGGGTGGAAACTATTCTTTCTGCAGAAGTGTTCCGGTGGATCCAAGTGCATGGTTTGCGGTACTTGTAACCCATACCACAGTTTTAGCATCTGCATGAATCATGTGGAAACCTTGGTTTAGTGCTACAGGCTTGAGTGCTCCAGAGTGTGTGCTCATCTAAAGAACACAGTGGAGAATCATGATTTCCTCCACTCATTGTACATACATCCTCTTTATGAGAGAAAGTGCATTTGAGACTGGCATGTGCAGCAGTCCATGTGTCCAGCTATCTTTCAACAGCTGAGAAAACATATTAGGCAGCAGTGACTACTGTTGGGTCTCAGAGCATCCTCTCACTCTCTCTTTCATGCCTGCAAGAAGCTATGCTTCTGTTATATTTTTGATGAAACACAAGTATTTGTGGGAAATCAGCTTAGAAAGTACTACCATAAAATATTAATTAATTAATTAATAGATATTTGTGAGTACTAAATTACAGGTGGTTATATACAGTAACAGTGTACTCATGTCTTGCTTTTTCTTTCTACAGCTAGTTGATGTGGAAAAATGGGTATGTGCTTCTGATTCTTGATCCAAAATATTTCATGTTTATCACCAAATCAAAATTGTCTGCATTTTTGTATTCTGTATGTATGACAACACTAATTTGCTAAGCTCAAAACATACTTTACAAAATACTTTCACCATACTAGATATAACTGTTAGACTCCGAAAATAGATTACCACCCTTTCAAAATAATAATAGAAAAATATTATTCCTGAAATTATAATTAATTGTGTGATATAAAGCTCTATAAAAGGAATAGTTCCTTGAAGTTTTGAGCCTTGCAGTTCCATTGTATAAATGCACATCCTGAAAACCTATCATTCCTTCTTTGTCGTTTTTATTAAAAAATGCATGTGAATATCATAATCTTTTGTCTATAATATATGTATTGCTTTATTCACCAAAGACAGTGTATATTAAATCCTTCAATGCAGTGATCACCTGTCAAAGAATCCACAAAATAGATCACTACATGAATGGTGCAACATTTCTCATTTAATCAATTCATTCTTGAAATATAATGTGTACTGAAATACAATTAGTTTCTGTAAACTGTTTGGAATTCCAGATTTGTGAAGATATCCTCCATTTGTCTCTGTGTATGTATGCATGTAATTGTTCACACTAAATAATATATTGAAATGTGTGCATGCAAATATTGTATTATCTGCGTACGGGATGTCTTGAGCATATATAAGTACTATCTTGTATGTTCAGATGTTGGCATTCAGCATATTTGCATTTTTAAAAAAATATTGGATGAATCTTCTGGAGAAAACTCCACATGTCTTTTCTGTTTGTTTGTTTTTTGTGAAGATTATTGTATTCTTGTCCATGTCTCAAATTATTTTGTTTGCCTATTCTACAATAATTTATGATGTTATGCTTTATTGAAGACAGAAGAGGTACATGACATATTTCTTAAGTATTCCAATGCCTTAGCGTGGATCTTCAGCTATAGAGCCTAAAGATGAAAATGGCTCCAAAACATTTTCATATTATCTCTGAAACTAAGGTGTCTGGAAATCAAACTATTTTGAGGCAGGTTAGAGGTCAGGAATCTACAGTAGTCCATCACAAAATGTTTGCTTCCTAAAGAGTATGCCTTATTTTTGCTTCCTTATGTAGTTTAAATCCATTTGTAAGAGCACCTGAAATAGTGAGCAAACTAGAGGCCCCTTGGCTGTCATTGGGTTCAGTATTAGATCAGTTCAGATGAGTAACTCAGACTGATGTCAACAGGATTCTGTCAGCTGTTAAATCTACCACATGCCTCCTTGACCCATGCCCTTCCTGGCTGGTTAAAGCCAGCACAGAGAGGGTATGAATTTCCCTAGCAGACATAATTACTCTGCCCTTGGGTTTAGCTGTCTTCCTGGGAATGTTGAAGGAGGTGGTGGTGAAGCCACTGTTGAAAAAAACATCACTAGATCATTCTTATCTGGCCAACCACCACCCAGTTTTGAACATTCTGTTCCTGAGTAGGTGGCAGTAGAACAACTGCAGGCTTTCCCGGAGGACACATCAGCCTTGGACCCATTCCAATTCGGCTTCCGTCCTGTCTATGGGACAGAGATGGTGCTGGTCGCTCTTACAGATGACCTCAGTAGACAACTGGATCAAGATGGGTCTGTGCTGTTGTTCTTGTTAGATCTTTCAGCAGCATTTGACATGGTCAAACATGACCTATTGACCCACTGCCTGACCGCCATTGGATTATATGGAACAGTCTTTCAGTGGCTGTGCTCATTTCTCCAGTGTGAGGACTGAGGGTGGCATGAGGGGAGGTCTCATTGTGGCACCCACTGGTATGTGGAGTCCCTCGGGGGGTGATCCTCTCCCCAATGGTGTTTAATATCTATATGAGCCCTCTTGCCCAGCTAGTCAGGAGATTTGGGCTAGGGTGTCATCAATATGTAGATACACCCAACTGTATCTGTTAATGGACAGCCATCTGGATACCGTCCCAGAAGATCTGGCCAGTCATTTAGAGGCTGTGGTAGAATGGTTAAAGCTGAGCTGCCTGAATCTGAAGATGGAGGTACTGTAGGTAGACGTGGGGGGGGGGGAGCTGGGTCAGAGAGCTCAGCTTCCCACTCTTGACAGAGAACAGCTACTACCAACTCCCTCTGTCAAGAGTCTGGGTGTGATTCTAGATGCTTCCCTGTCATTGGAGGCTCAGGTCACAAATACAGCCAGGGCAGCGTTTTTCCATCTTCGCCAAGCCTGGCAACTGACCCCTTAGCTGTCCTGTGTGGACCTGGCCACAGTGATCCATGCAATGGTCACCTCTAAAATTAGACTACTGTAATTTGCTGTAAACAGGGCTGCCCTTGAACTTGCTCTGGAAGCTTCAACTGATCCAGAAGGCAGCAGCACGGGTTTTCACTGGGCCCCCTCTGAGAGCACATACACAACCTGTGTTCTATCAACTGCACTGGTTCCAGATTGAGTACCAAATCAGGTTCAGGGTGTTGGTTCTCACCTTCAAAGCCCTAAACGATCTGAGACTCGTATTTGTGGGACTACCTCTCTCTCTATACTCCTCAGAGAGCATTACACTCTTCTGATAACAACTTACTAGTGACCCCTGCCCCCAAAATGGTCCAGCAGTCTTCAACCAGGGTCAGGGCTTTTTCAGCCTTGACCTCAACCTGGTGGAACTTTCTAGTGAAACTCAGGCCCTGCAGAACTTGGTTCAAGTCTACAGGCTCTGTAAGACTGAGATGTTCCACTGGACATGTGGCTGAGGATAGTGACAGAAAGATCTGTGGGCCTCCCTCTCCCCTCCCACCCGTGCTAGCTGCCCTGTGCTGTCCCATCTATGATGGATATTAGGGTGCCATCCGATGTAGAAAAAATGTTTTAGGTTTTAATTTATAATAATGTGGATTTTAAATTTAATATGCTGAATTATTGTATTTTGGTTGATTGTTATAAGATGCCCTGAGCCTTGCTTGGCAGGGAATGGAACAGGATAGAAGTCAAATGAATGAATGAATAGTGCAACCACTCTCTGTAAATGGGTTATATTTTGATTTCTAGTAGTGAGGCTGATAATTTTGGGGTGGGATGAGGTAGGGGCTTGTAATACAAATCCTCCGAATTTAAAATACTTTCTCCACTTTGAATCAGGTCGAGATCCCTTGGAATCTAGATCTAACTTGAAATGGAATTTGCTAGCCAACCCTCCATCCCAAGCAGTTTCCTCTCCCATTTGCGCCCTCAACTCCCTGTGTTTACTATGGGAGGATTCCATGAAGTTCAACAGGAAATTATATTTTCTGAAATTCCTAGAACGTTATTTCTAGGAGCTAGACAGTATGGGGCTCGTATACATACAGGTCCTGCTCACACAATTACCCATTTTGACTTCTCAAAGATAAGGTGTTTATTGTTCTTGAAAATGGAGATGAGGCTAACAGTAGGGGTGAAGCATGCTTTCACACTGAGTTTTCCTGCTAAATGCTCATAAGAACGCTCATTTTTTAAATTATTTAGTAAAAAAGCTAAAAAAAATCTTATATTTTTTTAAATTGAGACAGGATGTAAAGTCTTCACACATTTGTAACTTTGGGTATTTATTTTGTGTATATTCAATCAACCAGTCCAGTGAGGGGTAAATAAACACAAACATTATTTGCTTTGAAAATCTGTTTCCATTTGCTCCAGTGCAGCAGAAGTTCTACAGCTATAAGAAATATATGGTGACAAATGATGGAGAGACTCTATAGTAGGAATCTAAGCTCAGTTACTCATGTTAGAGCTACTGGGTCAATGCTGTTTTATCTTGAAATGAATTCTCTGTATCTACCTGCCATTCAGTTCTACTGTTACTCAATCACTGAAAAATACATCTTTATGTGTGTCACGTACAGTAAACTGCAGCACAGCAGTACTTGCTAAAGTTAAAAAGTATGTACTTTAGTGGAATGGAAAGCAGCTGTGTCACTAACACCTTGTGTGTTAACAGTCATACAACTCACACAACAGGTACAGTATTCACTGTATTTTGCTTCCAAGAAAAGCTGTAACAACTGGGTTTCTGCTGTCATGGAGCTGTTAAAAGCCTATCAGCAAAACAAGGGTATGTGAAAAATATGAATATATATTTATCTTTTTTTACCCACAGCCCTAATTAATACATTTGTGATATAAAATCAAAAGCTGCTTTAGAGCTGAGATAAGAAGTTCCACTTATCTCATGGATCATTATGAATGTTTTGTGCCCTAATTCAGCTAGTTAACTCTTGCCATTGATTTTAATAGGATTTAACCATGACTATGGATTGTGATTTAGACTTTAAAAAAACCCCAAAAACTTTTTAAAATGCAAAGTTGATGAGAAGCTTAATGTAATAGCAGAAATGCCTGTTTTTGTGGATCTACATTTTGTTTTTGCTGTTGAGCTACAAATATATATCACTGTGATACTTGAGTCTGTTCTCCTAGCATAATGTAAATAAGGTAAAATGTAAATAATTAGAGACCAAGGAAAGGGAGATTATTATATTATGCAAACATTGCATCTCATCTGCCTTTCCTTGTTCAAAAATAATTTTTGGAATGACTTTAAAACAATTCATGGCTGCGGTCACACGGAGCATTAGACTCAAATATTTATCATAAGATAATGTATTTAGTTCATTTGTACCCAGTGGGGACTCAAGCTGGCTTACATCATTGTCCTCTCCTCCATTCTGTCCTCACAACAATGCTGTGAGGTAGGTTAGGCTGAGAGAGTGTCAACCAGTGAGCTTCCATGGTACGACTGGGGATTATCTGCAGTCACTATACACACACACTTAGTGACTGCAGATAATCTGAGTTAAGGGGAAACTTGATGGATGAACATAAAAGACAAGTGTCATATCACATGCTCTCAGCCTAACCTAATTTACAAGGTAGGTCTGAGGAAAGATTTAAGGACAAGAGAAGAGAATGGTGTAAGCTGCTTTGGGTTGCCATTGGGGAGAAAGGTGAGGTATAAATGAAGCAATTAA